TGTCGCCCTCAGGGAGTCCGCCATTGCTTCTCCTCGGCCTGCCACAGCTGACGAACCCCAGAGAACTCGTACTCCGCAGAGTCGACGGCGTACCCGTACGCGCAAGGGCCAGGCCCAGGATGCCACGCGGGACCAGTCCCAGGATGCCACGCCGGCCACGACTGATGAGGGCGACGTGCAGCATGCTGGCCAGCGCAACTTGGAGCTGGAGGACGACGACAACGAGCCCCAGACCCTGGACATCATTGCTGACGACAGCTGGCAATTAGTTGCACAGGAACCCCCCAGGGCCAAGAAAACAGTAATCTTTGTGGGCAACCTAGGTACAAACTGCTCTGAAGAGAGCATCAAAACTTTCGTGAAGCGGGGCGCTGAGGCAGTGGGATCAACGGCCAGTGTTCACAACAGCAGCATCCACACAACGCAGACGGGAAAGGTGTCAGCTAGGATTTGTATAGATGCCACAGACCTGAGCCTCGTGACAACTCCGGACTTCTGGCCAAGGCCTCTATACGCCCGGCCATGGGAGTACCGAGACCGCCCGAAGCCCAATCGACAACACCCTGCCGGCGCTGCGAGAGGTGACCCTACACTGGATGGTGCTGACAGCGCTGACGGCGACAGCTCGGCATCTGCTGGCACCCCGCAATGATCAGTGGAGCTCCGCCGCTCCGCTGGCTGGTGACCAATGCATTTGGCCTCACCAACAAGCTGGGAGAGCTGCAGCATGCACTGCTCAACGATAACGTCGACATAGCGGTTATCACAGAAATGAAGTTCTCGGCCCAGACCGTAGCCTCTGAGACAATATTTCCAGGATACTCGCCTCCCATCCGACGTGACCGGGATGCATTTGGTGGCGGCATTGCTGTATGGGTGAAGTCCGGCCTCCCAGTAGTGCACCTCGACCAGATTCCCACTGATGACCACGAAGTCCTCTGGCTCGCCGTGAGTCTTTCCACGCAACAATCTGTTGTTATCGGTGCCTTGTATCGGCCTGGATCCTGTGCGGACAACGACACCTGTCTGATTGAGTATCTTGGACCTGCACTAGACGTGGCCCGCACTCACGGCACTCACATAGTGCTAGCTGGGGATTTTAATGTCCATCACGAGACTTGGCTCTGCAGCAGCAAAACAGCTGTAGCTGGAGAGGCCTTAGAAGAATTGTGTGCTGAGCATCAACTCCACCAGCATGTCTTGCAGCCGACTAGGGGTCTGAACACCCTGGACCTCATCCTCTCCAACATGCCCGTTCCTATCGACACCACTGTCAAAGCGCCACTTGGTCGCTCTGACCATGGGGTTGTTCTTGCCGACTTTTACCTCACCCCTGATGCTGAGCAAGCTACCTCCAGGACTGTCTGGCGCTACAATCAGGCAGACTGGGGGCGCCTGCGGGCCTTCTACTGCACTACTGACTGGTCCACCATTGTGACTGACGACCCTGAAGAGTCCTGCAGGAAGCTAAGTGACGTCATCTCCAGTGGCATGCAGAAATTTATCCCCGCCAAGCAGCTTGCTACCCGCCCAGCAGACCCCAAATGGTGGACTCCTGAGTGCACCACAGCATTGAACACTAAAGACAAGGCATGGAAGGCCTGGAGACACAATCTTTTCAGCGAAGCCCGCAAGGCTTGCTTCATGCGCTCAGTAGAAGATGCTATCCTCGCGAATGTGGGAGCTCGCACATCCTGGGAACTGATAGTTCGTCGGAAACTGTCACGCGGAGGCCTGAAAGACAAGCAATGGTGGTCGGAGCTCAAATCTGCTGCTGGCGCCAGTCATGGCTCGTCTATACCATGCTTGGTAGATGACGCTGGTCACCAACTCCGTATGAATGCTGCCAAAGCGAACTGCCTTGGTCGCTACTTCGCCAATAAATGTAGCCTTGGAGATGATGACTTGGGCCCGGGGGATCTCCCTCATGTTCGCCAACCCGGGGTCACCCCACTTAGCCGAATCCACTTCCGCCTGCAAACAGTGCAACGCCTCCTGAACCAGCTCGACGTTGGCAAGGCGTCCGGTCCGGACAACATCCCTGCCCGAGTGCTGAAAGAGTGCTCCCATGAACTTGCATCGCCTCTCACGTCTCTCTTCGCCCTGTGCTTCCGTAAGGGTGTCCAGCCAAAGGCCTGGAAGAGTGCTCGAGTTGTGCCAGTCTACAAGAAGGGCAGCCTATCCAACCCTAAGAATTACCGCCCAGTCTCCCTCCTCCCCATCATCTCCAAAGTGATGGAGCGTATTGTGAACTGTCAAATTGTGAATCACCTTGAAAAACATCATCTCTTGTCAACCAAGCAGTACGGATTTCGCAGTGGCCTTGGAACAGCGGACCTACTAGCAGTGCTTGGGCATGATTGGTCGCTGGCAGCTGGTTCTGGTGGCTGTGCCCACGTCCTGGCTTGCGACATTGCTGGTGCGTTTGACCGCGTGTCGCACCCCGGCGTCCTACACAAAGCGGCCACTCTCGGTATTGGCGGTAGCCTGCTGCAGTGGCTACGGGACTATTTGCGGAATCGCACACTAAGCGTAATCGTCAATGGACAGGAATCTGCTCAATTCCAGATTAAAGCTGGCGTACCCCAAGGCAGCATCCTGGGACCCACCTTATTTTTGATGTATGTCAACGATGCTGAGACCTGTCTTTCCCCATCAACACGAATGGGTGTGTACGCAGATGACACCACGCTGTACACCATCATACGATCCAGACATGACTCTGCTGGCAGCATTGCAGACATGCAATCTAGCCTGGATCGATTGAGTAGCTGGGGAGAACAATGGCGAATTCGCTTTGAGCCGACAAAGTCGCAGCTGCTGCATATTGGCCAACACCGCAACCCCTGGCCACTCCCAGACCTAACGTTCGGAGCCCATGATATTCCCTGTGGGGACGAGCTGAAGCTTCTGGGAGTGACCTTCGACAGCAAACTCACCTTCAGACGCCACCTCCGCAATGTTTCTCTTCGTGCCGTAGCCCGACTAGGATTTCTGCGTCGAGCATCAAGTTTCCTTGGTCGTGAAGGACGCTTGACAACGTACAGAGGCTTCGTACGCCCTGTACTCGAGTACGCACCATTGACATGGATGGGCGCAGCCAACTCACACCTGCAAGGTCTCCACCGAGTACAGCGGAAGGCCCTTGCTATCATTGGTCCTGACGCCTTGCTGCAGAGCCTAGCTGCCCGCCGCCAAGTGTACGCTCTCACGTACATGTACAAGCTAATGTGCCTTCAAGACCATCCAGATCTCTCTGCGCTCGTGCCGCCTCGCCAGGAAGCTAGCCTCGTCCCGCGGACAAGGTCGCAGCTCCGTGTCCGCCACCAGCATCAGCTACAAGCAGTGCTCCTCCCTACGGCCCCCAACTTTCTCCAGCGTTCGTTCCCATATGGTGTAGTGGATGAATGGAACAGGCTTCCGCAAGACATGTTTCCGGATCCGATGCCCCAGTTGAAGTCTCTCCAATCCTTCAAGACGAAGGTCCATCGCCACTTGCGTCAAAAGAATTGGCTCTGGGCTACGGACTCCCTGTGAGGCTATGCCACCCGTCAATGAGTAACTACCCTCGTCCATCATCTCTTTCTTGTTTTATATTTATTTCTCTTCTCATCTCTTTCTTGTTCTTTTTTATTTCTCTTCTCATCTCTTTCTTGTTTTATTTCTCTTCTCATCTCTTTCTTGTTTTATTTCTCTTCTCATCTCTTTCTTGTTTTATTTTATTTATTTATTTCTCTCTCTCTCTCTCCCTCCCTCTCTCTCTCTCTCTCTCTCTCTCTCTCTCTCTCTCTCTCTCTCTCTCTCTCTCTCTCTCTCTCTCTCTCTCTCTCTCTCTCTCTCTCTCTCTCTCTCTCTCTCTCTCTCCCTCTCTCTCTCTCCCTCCCTCCCCCCCCCTCTTTCCCTCTCTCTCTTTCTCTCTCTCTCTCTCTCTCTCTCTCTCTCTCTCTCTCTCTCTCTTTCTCACTTGATCTCCCTCCCTCCCTAGCTGCATTCCTTACGATGCCTGGTCGTAGGCTATGATTCCGAGACCTCCGGTCGGATGAGCCTCGCCAACCACATCGGCACATCGCCCCTACTCCCCTTTGTCTTGTTGTCCAGCGTCATTGCAGTTGTCCTCTAGTACTAATAATCAGGGGAAGAGTATTAGTAGGGCTGTGTTTTTTAGTAAAAAAAAAAAAAAAAAAAAAAACGTACTCCAAATCGGTGCAATGCATGAATACGATGTATGTGTACAATGAATATTCAGTATTCGAAGGTGGGTGGGCAGCTTGAATCCTTTTCAAATATTGAAGTAAGCAAGTATAATGACAAAGAATAGCTGATGAGTGCGGATAAATGATCGACATATTCGCAGTTGCATCCTGCGTGGCGTCGTTCCTCAATCTCGTCTTCCATTTCTTCCTCCGCAGCTGAAGACACGACGTCGCTGCCGTCACTAGCCCAAGCCTCAGAATTTATCTCAGTTGACGACTCCTCATTTTCAGACTCTGACGAGTCATCGGCCACCTTGAGCCGCATCGCAGCAGGAGATGACGGCTGCGATTCCGCCTCGCTGTCGACATCGATTTCGGAACCAAAGAACGTTTCATCCCCATTCTGAACTTCAGCGGCTACCTCAGCATCCACCCCCCACCAGGCTCGAGCTTGCTGTATACAATGACTGCCGTGTGTGCTCTGCGAACAGCTCTGGCATCCGCAGCCATTGAAACAAGATCAAAGAACACTGGAGTCGCCACTCGACACCACTTCAACTTCAAAATAAATTACTTCAAGCAAGGAGTTCAAGAAGTCGTCGTGCTGTTCGCAGCGCGATCAAAAAGTCGTTGAACGTCACAAATCGACTTTTTCTCGTTTTCGCTGATTGCCGCTCATATCGTAGGCAACTAATTACTTTTTGAAAAATTTAGTATGCCAGATATTTTCAGTGTTCAGTATTCTTGAATGTCACAACGTGATTGCAAAATTCTACATAGTGGTACTTCACCCTCCTTTTCATCCAGATATAAACGAATGTGTCAATGGCACGTATGCGTGTCGTGGAAACAGAAAATGTGTGAATACTGTGGGGTCGTATTTCTGCCGATGTCTGGATGGATACAACGGTTCTACATGCCAAGGTGAGCTACCTCATCTGCATATTTCTTTCGACAATTGCAAGGTTGCGGCTGACTAAAGAAACGACTGAACTATTAACTATGCTTGGTAGCTCGGCCTACATAGCTCGTAGCTGTTCTGATGAGGCATTTATGGCCGAAACAGCTTGCTGTCTACAGCATTGAGTATTACGTTCCTCGGCTTTCGTCTTGTCAGTAGGCTGCTCTAGTGCTGCGGCATCGCGCAATGCCCACTACTTTTTGTAGCTTGAGCACTCTGGCGCTAGAGCGACGGGCTATCTTAATGTCTGTGGTGCCTCTTTGCACCATGGCTGGTAGCTGCTACCAAGAGTAGATAAACAAGAGTGTGCAACTCCGGGATCCGCGCGGATTGGTTGGCCCACGGCGGAATTTTTTGTTGACGTAATCTTTTCGACCACCCACGCGCTGCTAGTCTTTTGGAAAGTTTTGCCTCGTGCACTTGGTCGGGCTTACATTACAATGTCGGTGCCCAACACGTGCTCTCACACTGCTCTTCGGCAAGAAGCGCGTTTTTCTGAAAAAAGGTGACGTCAACAACAAAATCCGCCGTGGTTGGGGGTATCTCCCCAAAGATCATCCAAAAGTTCAAGAGAGCAGCTTATCACCATCTCCTCAGAACAAAATGGCACTGGGCCACTCATAGCATACGCGAGTAAGAGGGTACACTGTCCTACCTTGCTTGGAAATACATGTAATCTCTCCTCACAGACAGTCTCCTCTTGAATTTAAAGGTCTAACAGCGTTCACATCAATACTCAACTTATTCTTTTGCTCACTGAGCAATACAATCTTTCCATTTTCTTTCTTCTGTTTTCTTTTTCAATTTAATCCTCCCTACCCAATATTAGCCCTTTCCCAAAGGTGCTCTTTTAATTCGCACGAAGTGCTTTTCGCGTCCCTCAAAATATGCTGAAAAAGTGCTCTTTTTTCAGTGAAAACAGGCAAAAAGTGCTCTTTTTCAGTGAAGCATAGCCATGACACATGTTTAGATATGAACTCAAGATGAGAAATGAATACGCACTCTTCCATTTATGGGTCCAAGAAAGGCAAACCAGGAAGTAAAGTTCAAAAAACCCACTGTTTACAGCATTGCGTACACCAGGCACAAGCTTCACCAGCGTGTTACCCCCAAAAAAGCAGCGTGCCAAGGCCCATCGCGATATCGAGCACTCGGAAACTGTGATCGCATGCATGAGCAAACAGATTTTAGCACTTTTTCAGCTCAAAAAGGTCAAAAAGGGCGATATTCACCAAAAACGCAATAAAGGGCGAAAGAAACGGGCTTTTCCAAAAAGGGTCAAAAAGGGCGAAAAAAGGGCGAGCACCTTTGGGAAAGTGCTACCCAATATCCCTTTGGTGCGTCCATGGAGCTATGAAGCCGAGACCTCTGGTCGGCGGAGCTTAATGAGCCCCACCACCACACTCCATTATTCACCACAGTGTCTGGAGATATGTGGATTTTGTAGAAAAAAGAGAAAAAAACTGGAGATTGTGCAGGACAGATCCGGAGTTGTACGCTCTTGTTTATCTACTCTTGCAACTACTTAGCTCGTAGCTGTACTGATGAGGCCTTTATGGCCGAAACAGCTTGCTGTCTACAGCATTGGTTGTACTTGAAGTATATGTTTTCAAACTGGGACGGACGCAAGGAATATTATAAAGATGTCTTTTCCAGGCACCAATCGGGCACAAGGGGAAGATTGATGATCCACCAGCATTATTAGACTGGATGATTTGAATCGTCCACTTAAAAAAGAATCATCTTTCTCAGCCTATTCAAGCTCAACTGGAACACAGTAAATTGAACAGGGAGTGGTGCTTTCTTGCAGGTCAACCCAGTTGAAGGTTCGATGGACTTCTCGTGTGCTCTGGATCGCGGTCGTTAGTCAGTCGAGTGATAATTCATGTCACAGGAAAGGCACAATCTCCAAAGTAGGGAGCGACACACATTTTCCCAAATTTCCCAAATATACATCCCCTTATGGAATACAAAATAAATCATCAATTGTAGGTAATTATTGTGAAAGAAGAAAGACAACATGTTCCTTGTCAGTTTTGTGCCATTTTGTCGCACTCGCTTATTGTATAAGATCTGGTTACGTTCGTGGACAGTTAGTCCCCCCCCCCTCCAGTTAATTTCATTGTCAGTTATAGTTACATTTCAATTGCCAGTTACTGTGTGTTCACTGAGACCCGTGTGCATTTGCCTCCGAGAGAGACTGCGGCCAGCTACAATAGCTCGTAACATTTTGTCCTTCTTCTTTCACAATAATTTAATTGGCTCACCACCCGAGTTAAATAGTGGGTAACCTTAATTATTTATTATGCTGGGTCTTTTATATGCTCGTGAAATTTCGAAAAATATATTACAAGATTCCACGTACTTTACCGTCCATTTCATTTAGATATACTGGGTAGTTTTTCTCAGCGATTTAATTTCGCTAATTTCGTCGCTTGGTACCGACCGGCCAAAATAATTAATGTCATTCCAAAATTTGTCATCGAGGCAAATGATGCATAATAGAGCCATTGCTACATGTTAGATTAACAACTTCATATCGATTTCGTTTTTGAAAACTCCAATCTGCCAAGGTTTAATAACGGCCAGAAGTTTCATTTCGAGATCTGCCAAAGTTTCTCACCGACCAAAATTAAGTGTTGATTTACAGTAACCAGATCGGCAGAAATCATTCACAAAGTATGCCTGCCCTGCACATTGAGCAAGATTTGATGTAAGTGTGTGTGTGTCCGTGTCTTTGTCTCTGTGTGTGTCTCTCTGTTTGTCTGTCTGTATGTATGGATATCTGTCTGTCTCACATTGAGCAAAGGCTTGGGTCTCCTTACGATGACACATTAGCAACAAGTTCAGAGGTACGTTTTTCTGGTTCTGTGTTTTATGCCTGCTGGTGTTGACGCTTGTGCTTGTTTGGACATGCGGACATGTGTACCGAACACATCGCAACGGATTCTAATCTAATGGGCATCTAGATATTGATGAATGTCAAAACGGCAAAAACAATTGCAACAAAATGGTCAACAGTGACAACAGACAATGCCAGAATCTGAACGGCTCATACCATTGTCCCTGTCTTCCTGGATATGCTGGGTCGCAATGTGACGGTGAGTACTTTCTACAATTCCCTATTCACAGATGCATGAACTATTTGACTAATGGTTTATTGCAACATCTCAAGACTCAGTGAAAACATAGGCCGATGCGAAGAGATTCTTCAAGAGAATTTTATTCAAATTTACTAGGACAGTCCCCCAGACTCAAGGGTTTCTCACGGGGTGCCCTGATCTTTTATTTTAAAGTAATGCATGGTGAAATTTCGATGTACCGGGCTGTGATTGGCAGCTGTTGCAAATAGGGGCCATACAGATACATCATTTCAGACTGTAGGGTTATTCGGAAGAAGTTATGACCTCATGTTCAGATAATTCTCCCAGATTTGTGGAAGGGTTTCGAATGTCGGATTACAGCTCGTTCAATGTGTGTATACTGCACTTCCTGTTTTCAATGTTCACATTCCATGTGTGTATCGCTAAAAAAAGGGTACACACAGTCAAACCTTGACACAAGAACAACAAACCAATGTCATGTTGTTACTGCGTGCACAAGGTCTCTAGCATTACTAGGATTCTTGTCTCCACGCCACCTGTTCAAGTATATGTGCGCACTGGAATTTTCTCCTGTCTTTGCTTTGCGTGTATATCCACGAATCCGCCACCCAAATACAACCAACTTTAAGGTGGCTCACACCTTCTGCGCGCGCATCGTTTGAAAAGTGTAAGTTTTCAGTAAATTTTTCAGTAGCGATGATTTTTGTGCGATCAACCGTTGTAGGAAACGTCTTCTCGCTTTTCTGCAATTCTGGCGACCTAGCTAGAACCTGCTGCTAGTGTCCCTCTTCACTCGTTCTTTCTATGAAAGGGGAAGGCAGCACTCGCAGAAGATTTTCCAAGAATGCAATGTCGACTGGTGCTCGTACTATAAGAAGGGAGAAATCAAAGTCCGCTCTTGAATCACGCCTGAGTCTTAGAAAATTATTTCAGAAAACGCTTGTGTAGATTTCCTGCCAGTGCCACTGACATCTCGCGATCCGTTCAAATATAACTTGCTCGATCATCTCCCGCACTGACTGGTAAATTCGTCGGGTAGCTGTGGATGGATCGATTCAGGGAGATCGAAGGTAAATACATCGAAGCACTTCAAACACGTTTCAAGACGCACTTCAAACACGTTTCAAGACGCACTTCAAATGTTGTTATTGTGTCTTGAAAATTGTTTACAACAATTCGGACTTCAATACGCTGTTGAATTGTATCCTCTGCTTGGGAGTCTCGACTGTTTTATTGCTGCATGGCTTTTCTCAACACTGTACATGTATCGCGGAACGCAGATTGGATGGCATTGGAGGTGAATTTGATAATTATTTGTGACTGTGTCATCAACCAAGTGAGGATATCAAATATCAACAGGGACGCTCCGAAAATCACAAACGCTGCGAAATAGGTATGAAATGGTCTCACACACTGGTGGGTATTCCACATTCATTGTATCATATATTTAGACTGTCCGAAAGTTTGTCGTGCCGTGCAACTTTCACAGACTAATCCGATAATTGGCATGTGGCCCTATCGGCACACACTCATGCGTATGCCGCTCAGTCTATCTATAATTATGTGCACGCACATGTGTGTATACTTACAGAATTCTATTACGTATGCAAAATTAGGCAATCTACATGTTCATATATATGTGTGTGCACTCACTCCTATGACATAGAACGACAGTGCAGGCTATGTAAAGTCGCACGAATGTGTGTTACCCGGGTGTGTACATGCATGCGCACTCGCGCGGGCGTTTTGTGTGCGCGCCTGGCATGGCATAACGCCGTTCAATATGACTAGTGTTGAACCGTGGTAATTTTCCCCACCCCTTCTTTTTTCTATTGGCGTTGGATATGCAACTAATGACATAAACTCGGTTGTTGAAAACGAGTGCTATGCACCACAATGGATTGACAATAATATAATACAAGTAGCGCTGTAAAAGCGCTGGTAATACTCATGTTGCAGCCATGGCAATTGTGATTAGCTTTCCAAGCCAAGCCTGCTGCAGAAATTATTGCACTCTGACCAGCTGGAGTGGCCCAGGACTGCAGGTTGTGGAGAACAGGAGTGATGCTTGTATATACGCTTGTATTTACATGATGGACTTCGAAGTAACGTTAGGTGTATTACTTGTATGTTCTGCCTGTGCACGTGTACATGTGCTGGTCAGTGTGGAACCGCCATCCATATCAGATCATACAGCTTAGCTGCTATCAGTCTCAACAGCTTATATCTGGCAAATAGGGTTTTAGTGGCTCAATTTTGCTTACTGTGTTCAACAGAGTGGCATTGCACACAGCTACTTTATGTAATAGTAGCATCTTGGAAATTTTATATTTTTGATAGTTACCTTCAGTAGAAACTTCTCCAGTGTGGCTCTTAGCTTCATTACCACGGAGACTAAGCATTCAAGAAATGCACGAAGAACAGTGGCTAGATGCGAAGTGAAAAGCCATTGGACCGTACCCAATGGAATACGCATTTACTGAAGTAGTATAGCAGTATTGCTTGCTATGCTGGCAGCAAACACTGTATAATAATAATTTCATTACCAGTAGAAAGTGCCCAATGTGCATTGCTTCAGCACTGTGTTTTGGACAAAGCAGTCAAAAAATTCCACATCAGTATTGGCTTCATGTTGGAGAAAGTTGTGAAAAACACTAGAGCATACATGTACACTCAATACACATGCTAAGCTACATGTATGGCATTTAGTATGTGGGCGACTTCAAAGTTCCATTTTGGTAGTTAGCTTCGGTAGAAACTGTCTAAACTTGATCCAAAGCTCTACTACTATGTTCTGAAGATGTTGCAATCAAGTAAAGTAAGACACGTATCTGCCGCATTGGAGCTAGTTGTGAAAACCTTTAGACCATACACACAATGCACATGCTCAGCTATGGCATTTAGTATGTGGGCGACTTCAAAGTTTTATTTTGGTAGTTAGCTTAGGTGGAAACTGCTAAAACTTGATCCAAAGCTCTACTACTATGTTCTGAAGATGTTGCAATCAAGTAATGTAAGACAGGTATCTGCCGCATTGGAGCTAGTTGTGAAAGCCTTTAGACCACACACACAATGCACATGCTCAGCTATGGCATTTAGTATGTGGGCGACTTCAAAGTTCTATTTCGGAAGTTAGCTTCGGTGGAAACTGCTAAAACTTGATCCAAAGCTCTACTATTATGTTCTGAAGATGTTGCAATCAATTATTGCAAGATACGTATCTGTCATATGGTGGAGTCGGGAGTTCTAAGGCGTTGGACAATGTCCCAGTGCAATGTGCTGATTCTTGAAAATATGGCATCACTTGACACTTCAAAGTTTTATTTCAAGAGTTACCTTCGGTAGAACCTCCTCAGACTTGCTACACAGTACCATTATTAGGTAATGATAGCATAACCATCGAATACAGGGCAAGTCCAGTGTCAAATACTTGTGGGCGGGGCTAATATGTGGGACATGTGCGCTGAAATGGGATGATTCCAAAAGAGAAAAAGGTCACCTTCTAGCAGAATTCTACCCACTTCTAAAGCTTATGCTGGTATTTAGCAAGTATACTACTCTCCTGATGTTGGACATCAAGAAAAATGGGGTAACTACGAGTGCTACGGCCAAAAAAGTGGTTTTCCGGTGTTTTTTGGCCTAAATTGGCAATTGTGAGTATGCTATGTTTGGCCCCTCCCCCGAGTTAAACCGGCCGGTAGAACTTGATAACATTTTGCCTCCGTACACTAGATATCCTGCGGAACAAAGTAAAATCGTTTGTAGCCACGTTTCAAACAAAATAAATTGGACCCGAGGGGTAGGAGCCACCTTAACTCAAATGATAAATTGAAGATGGTTTCGTCTCCATTGTGACCTTCGCCATCTCTATCAGTCTTGTGGTAATGGTCTCTGTGCTCACGATCTCAATTCTGATAACTCAGCTAAAGAGAAAATATACTGAAGCAGCCCACATGAGCTTTCAAACTGCTGCTTTACAGAACACGGTGGGAACAGCTGGCAGTAACGCCCTATCCCTAACATGCAATGACGCCTATGGGACAACTACGTCTGGAGTTCGACAAGATCCTTCTCTGTACGATACCATACAGTATACTCTTTTCATCATTGCTCAGAAGCAGGACTGAGCTCTACATGAATCTACACGTGCACTGATAGCATAGTGACGTTTTGTGTACATTGTACATGTGCATGTGTATTATAATTATGCTTGTTTAGTATGAATATTCTTCATCCTTCAAAGTTCGTTTTGAAAACTATTCATACTTCCCAACAATCATTCTCACCCTTCTATTCGGCATGTTTTCTCATCATTTTGTAGATCTCAACATTATGCAACATGCATACAAAACAACATACATGTATGTCACTCTGAGCGTAGGGTTTTGTCGGTGAAGCCCAATACTTTTAGCTAGCCGAACTAGTGTAGCTCTAAAATACATGGTATGTAGCCTCCTCCGGGATTATGCTCCTGCTTCTCCCACCCAAAGTCTAATTGACCCCAATCCTGAGTAGCAAATCTCCACTGCGCTACCCTATTGCACCCTTCATTTGACACTCTACTTTCACTCCTATTATCTGTTTAATTAATTTAATTGAAATATATCGTCATGACGAATCCCATTTTTGAATAGATGTCATGCGCAACCTTAAAGATTTAGTTACCCAGTTCTTTACTATCTTCTACACTGTCAGTAATAGATTTCAAAATTCAACATACTGGTACTTTACGATGCATTTCATTCAGATATAAACGAATGTGCCAATGGCGCGTATGCCTGTCGTGGAATGGCTAATCCTGGAAACAGAAAATGTGTGAATACTGTGGGGTCGTATTACTGCCGATGCCTGGACGGATTTACAGGTTCTACATGCATAGGTAAGCTGCATGATCTTCAGATTTCTTCCGCCAATTTAACCGATTCATCAATTGCGTCGTCGAGTTGTAGTGAGCCCTGTATTTCGAATTGTCTTATTAACTCAGTTTTGTCATCATCGTGCAACTTGCAGCAATCTTTGTAGAAATTTTTCTTAAGTTGACGGGATAGAAAATTCTTCGTTGCTTTGGGCCTTTGCTTGGACTCTTCTTCGTTGAGCTGTCCTTCCAATCTTGGACCTTTCGTAACCTCAGCCTTCCAAGTTGAAAGGTTATCTATTTGAGTCTGCCAGAAGATAAGTGTTAGAGTTAGGAGTCAGGTTGTTGAATGTCTCAGTACTGTTTGACAGCGTCATCCCTTCTTGTCGCACGAGCTATAAAGATCTGGTGATGTTAGTGGACAGTTATTCGTAACTCGTGCCATTTTATCCTTCTCTTTTTATCTTTAATGTTTTTTTTTAAACAGAAATGGTGCGGTGAAGAAAAGGAAGGGCAGGACGATCGAGGCGATTTTGTTTTGGTCCCCTGCAACCATTCAAACTGGAACCAATCGCTTATTGATATTCAGTTTGTGGATGAAATTCCCGCCTCTTCAGTTGCATTTGATTGAACTTTGTGCTCCGGGAATGCTGCCAGTTGTTGCATTTCACCATCCTAAGATTACCGCCGCTCCATTTCCGGTGCGGTTGGTTGATTGTTTTTTTATTTTGCTTCGCACATTCAAACGGAATGACGACCCAGTAAAATGATTGAAAATGATTAGCCTTGAAGTTGCTATGGAAGAACTTAGTAAAGTCACTGGAAGCACATAGCAAGAGATTAGGAAACTCATAATCTCGAGTAAACGGGGGAGGGGGGGGGGGGACGGCGGAAGAAAACGATGTATCTGTGATACTATGTGAGTAAAACTGAACTGCTCGGGGAGGGAGAGCAGAGCGATTAGCAGTATCTCGAACTGCCCCCTACAGGCGTATGGTACACGTGCATGTTTCAACTCAGGTAGCAGGGTAATTGTGCCGACCTCACCAGAGAGAGAGAGCGATCCACAGCAGAGCACTAGCAACAGAAAATCTCCGCTGACCGGCGGGGCTACGGTTTGCCTGCTTTGTAGGCCATTTGACTGCTGATGGGAAGGCAGGGGTGCCTTGTGCGGAGTCAGAAGCTGGGCGAGCGCAGGGCTCGTGCGGGTGTGAACTCACCGCCAGATGGTCATTAATATTTCTGCCGCTATAGCAGACTGACAGGGTACAGGGAGTGAGCAGGGAGTAGTGATCAGCGACTGCATGGCTGTCCGAGGCGTTTTGCCATCGATACAGCGAATGGCACTGTTTCGTGCGGTTTGTAGTCCTTTCAGCTGATCCTCTCGCATTACGGTTGATAATAGCCATAAAACAGGTCGGTCATTATGACCACCTTCGCAGACACCTGACGAGAGCGTCTTGATAGGCATCGGTAGGCGCGCCACAGGGCACCAATTTTCTTGGCAACCTTGGTGACCACATAGTTAAAATGGGTGTCCCAATTTCGGCGATTGGCAAGGTGAACACCTAGGTAGCGCGCAGAAGATGTTGAAGGGTGGAGACATTCGCCGCTTTTGACTGTTATCTCCGGTACATTATTGTGGGGATTGATAATTAAAACCTTCTTCTTGTCGGCGTTCAAGAGGAGGCCTCGAGACTTCGGCCAATCGGCCAGAGCAGTTGCCGCTGTGGTGAGGGTTCTGGACGCTTCCGCCGCTGAGATCTGGGGGTCGTACATGGCTATATCATCTGGAAATTGTACACTTGGCACATGCAAGGAAACCGACATCTCGTGTCTATATACTGAAGAGGCCAGACTATAGAACAGAACCGGTGGGCATCCCGCTGGTGCAAGCCAGAGCAGAGCTGATTGAAGGGGAGAGGAAGATCTGCTGCAAGCGGCCGGACAAGTAGTCGTCGACCAAATTGAGGGCAATTCCAGAAATTACAACAGCAAGGTCTCGGATCAAATTGTAGTGGTGCCCTTCATCACTAAAGCCTTCGAATTTTCTCGTTGGTACAGCCTTGTGATCTGGCCACTGTCAGTCGTAGATTGTACATCAGCATTTCCCGTAGAACATTTCTTGCGGAGAGCAAATTGTGTTTTGGGTAGTGCCTTGCTCAAGTCCAAATGACGAAAAAGCTGGTGTTGTACTATTCTCTCCAGCAACTTGGTACTATTGCGATAAAGGATACAGGTCTATAGTTGGTTAGGAGTTGGGGCCTTGTTCTGTGGCACGACAGGCGCCAATATAAATCCAGATGGAATGGTTCCAGTCCTCAGCGAGTTGCAGAAGAGCACAGCAAGAGAATATGCCAACAAGTCAGCACAATGCTGTAGCAGAGAGCCCGTTTTGCCGTCACAACCTGTGGCTTTACGCGCATACAAATTGTCAAGGAGACATCGGACGTTCGCAGGAGTCACAGGATCAGGTAAGGTCAAGGTCACAGGTCCAGCGGGACCTTGCGGGGTGCAGAGCTTTTCAGAACAGTCCGGATCGGTGACAATGGAGTGGAACGTGTGGCCCACCGCAATGATGCTACAACTAGGATCTTCGCGGCGACATGAATGCCCAGTGCGGCAAACAACTCTTCAACTCCAAGCAACAACGTGCATCCTTTCACGTCCTTTCTTTTTATTGGTTGTTCCAGCCCTGCTGCTCCCTCACCTCCACCTTTAGGCGCTGCATATTCACATGGATTATTCTCAATTTGGCGGCGGCCTTGGCTGTCATTAGCGGTGTCGTTGCCATTTTATGGTTTACTGTATCTGGCATATCATATTTCGTAAATTAATCCTGCGCTGTACAAGGATGACACGTAGAATTGCATTGACAACACCAAAGATCAGAAAAATGCATCCTCGTGAGCGAGATACACTCTGGAAGGAAGGTGAAGAAGACAACGTAAATGGAATTCTCACGTTTCACAGGGCCACTTTGAAGGAAGGCAAAATATACTGGAGTGTGTCCTAATCGCTGCTTCCAAGAAAGTATTACTCTAAATCAACTGATGTTCGCTGGCGATTTAATTCCGCTGATTTTGCCGCTTGGTACCAACGGGCCAAAGTAAATGTCAGTCCAAAGTATGTCATAGAGGCAAATGATGCATAATTGAGCCATTGCTACATTTGAGAGCAACAGCTTCCGATCGATGTCTTTTTGTAAACTCCAATCTGCCAAAGTTGAATATCGGCCAGAAGTTTCATTTCAAGATCGGCCAAAGTTTCTCACCGACCTAAATACCTTGATTCAAAGTAACCAGATGGGCAGAAAGCATGCCTGCACTACACATTGAGCAGTCAAAGAGATGGTGGACAAGCCGTTGATTATCCACTCTCATTGTAATATCAAAAAGTATTCTTTTTAGACCAAAGACAACTTCATGACTATTACCGCCGAAGTCGCAACATCTAAGTTCGAAAGAGTGGTATATTATTTTTATCTTTATTAATCAAATATACCACTCTTTGGTCGAAAAAGAATACTTTTTGATACTACATTGAGCAGTGTTGATGATTTGAGTGTATGTGTCTCTTTGTCTGTCTGTGTTTCCTGCCGTTTGTCTGTCTGCATGTATGCACATCTGTCCGTGTCACATTGAGAAAAGGCCAGGGTCTCCATACGATGACATTTTACTAGTAAAGGTTCAGCGGTGTGTTCGTCTGATTCTGTGTGTTATGTCTGCTCATGTTGACATTTGTGCTTGGTGGGGCATGCGGACATGTGTACCGAACACATTGCAACGGGTTTTAATCTAATGGGCATCTAGACATTGATGAATGTCAAAATGGCAAACACAACTGCAACGAAATGGTCAATAGTGACAACAGACAATGCCAGAATTTGAACGGCTCATACCATTGTCCCTGTCTTCCTGGATATGCTGGGTCGCAATGTGACGGTGAGTAATTTCTACAAGTCCCTATTCACAAATGCATGAACTATTTAACTAATAATTTATTGCAACATCCCAAGACTCAGTGAAAACATAGGCCGATGCGAAGAGAATTCTATACAAATTTACTAGGACAGTCCCCAAGACGGGGTGCCCTGATCTTTTATTAAAGTAAGGCATAGTGACATTTCGATGTATTGGGCTGTGATATACAGATGTTGCAATAGGGGCCGTGTATGTACATCGTTTCAGACCGTGGGGTATTTCGGAAAAAGTTGTGAACTCAATTCCCCCAGATTTGTAGAAGGGTTTCGAATATCGGATTACACCTTGTTCCTTTGTGCCTAGTTCACTACCTGCTTTCCCCGTCATTGTTGATATTCTATGTGTGTAACGCTAAAAAGAGGTGTACACACAGGCATACCATGACACAAGAACATCAAAATCATGCCATGGTGTGACTGCATGCACACTTTCTCTACCGTTACTTGGATTCTTGTCTCCACGCCTCCTGTTCAAGTCAATGTGCGCACTGTAATTTTCTCCTGTCTTTGCTTTGCGTGTATATCCACGAACCCGTCACTCAAACGCAACCAACTTTGGCACAAAAGATCAATTAATTAAAGGTGGATTCGTCTCCATTGTGACCTTCGCCATCTCCATCAGTCTTGTGGTAGTCGTCTCTGGGCTCACGATCTCAATTCTGATAGCTCAGCTGAAGAGAAAATATACGAAAGCAGCCCACATGAGAGTTCAAACTGCTGCTTTACAGAACACGGTGGGAACAACTTGCAGTAACGCCCTATCCCTAACAGGCAATGACGTCTATGGGACAACGACGTCTGGAGTTCGACAAGATCCTTCTCTGTACGATACCATACAGTAATCTCGATGCATCATTGCTCAGAAGCAGAAGCTCTACATGGATCTAGACGTGCACTGATAGCATAGTGACGTTTGGTATACATTGTACATGTGCATGTGTATTGTAACTATGCTTGTAAAGTATGAATATTTTTCATACTTCAAAGTCCTTTTTGAAAACTATTCATATTTCCCAACAATCATTCTCACCCTTCTATTCGGCATGTTTTCTCATCATTTTGTAGATCTCAACATTATGCAACATGCATACAAAACAACATACATGTATGTCACTCTGAGCGTAGGGTCTTGTCGGTGAAGCCCAATACTTTTAGCTAGCCGAACTAGCTCTAAAATACATGGTATGTAGGCTCCTCCGGGATTATGCTCCTGCTTCTCCCACCCAAAGCCTAATTGTCGCCAATCCTGAGTAGCAAATCTCCACTGCGCTACCCTATTGCACCCTTAATTTGACACTCTACTTTCACTCCTATTATCTGTTTAATTAATTTAATTGAAATATATCGTCATGACGAATCCGATTGTTGAAAAGAAGTCATGCGCAACCTTAAAGATTTAGTTACCCAGTTCTTTACTATCTTCTACACTGTCAGTAATAGATTTCTAAAATCCAACATACTGGTACTTTACGATGCTTTTCATTCAGATATAAACGAATGTGCCAATGGCGCGTATGCCTGTCGTGGAATGGCTAATCCTGGAAACAGAAAATGTGTGAATACTGTGGGGTCGTATTACTGCCGATGCCTGGACGGATTTACAGGTTCTACATGCATAGGTAAGCTGCATGATCTTCAGATTTCTTCCGCCAATTTAACCGATTCATCATTTGCGTCGTCGAGTTGTAGTGAGCCCTGTATTTCAAATTGTCTTGTTAACTCAGTTTTGTCATCATCGTGCAACTTGCAGCAATCTTTGTAGAAATTTTTCTTAAGTTGACGGGATAGAAAATTCTTCGTTGCTTCGGGCCTTTGCCTGGACTCTTCTTCGTTGAGCTGTCCTTCCAGTCTTGGACCTTTCGTAAACTCAGCCTTCCAAGTTGAAAGGTTATCGATTTGAGTCTGCCAGAAGATAAGTGTTAGAGTTAGGAGTCAGGTTGTTGAATGTCTCAGTACTGTTTGACAGCGTCATCCCTTCTTGTCGCACGAGCTATAAAGATCTGGTGACGTTAGTGGACAGTTATTCATAACTGGTGCCATTTTATCCTTCTCTTTTTATCTTTAATGAGTTTTTTTTTTTGAAACAGAAATGGTGCGGTGAAGAAAAGGAAGGGCAGGACGATCGAGGCGATTTTGTTTTGGTCCCCTGCAACCATTCAAACTGGAACCAATCGCTTATTGATATTCAGTTTGTGGATGAAATTCACGCCTCTTCAGTTGCATTTGATTGAACTTTGTGCTCCGGGAATGCTGCCAGTTGTTGCATTTCACCATCCTAAGATTACCGCCGCTCCATTTCCGGTGCGGTTGGTTGATTGTTTTTTTTTATTTTGCTTCGCACATTCAAACGGAATGACGACCCAGTAAAATGATTGAAAATGATTAGCCTTGAAGTTGATATGGAAGAACTTAGTAAAGTCACTGGAAGCACATAGCAAGAGATTAGGAAACTCATAATCTCGAGTACACGGGGGAGGGGGTGGGGGGGGGGGGTGGGGGGTGGCGGAAGAATACGATGTATCTGTGATACTATGTGAGTATTACTGAACTGCTCGGGGAAGGAGAGCAGAGCGATCAGCAGTATCTCGAACTGCCCCCTACAGGCGTGTGGTACACGTGCATGTTTCAACTCAGGTAGCAGGGTAATTGTGCCGACCTCACCAGAGATAGAGCGATCCACAGCAGAGCACTAGCAACAGAAAATCTCAGCTAACCGGCGGGGATACGGTTTGCCTGGCTTTGTAGGCCATTTGACTGCTGATGGGAAGGCAGGGGTGCCTTGTGCGGAGTCAGAAGCTGGGCGAGCGCAGGGCTCGTGCGGGTGTGAACTCATCGCCAGATGGTCATTAATATTTCTGCCGCTATAGCAGACTGACAGGGTACAGGAAGTGAGCAGGGAGTAGTGATCAGCGACTGCATGGCTGTCCGAGGCGTTTTGCCTTCGATACAGCGAATGGCACTGTTTCGTGCGGTTTGTAGTCCTTCCACCTGATCCTCTCGCATTGCGGTTGATAATAGCCATAAAACAGGTCGGTCATAATGACCACCTTCGCAGACACCTGACGAGAGCGTCTTGATAGGCATCGGCAAGGGCGCCACAGGGCACCAATTGTCTTGGCAACCTTGGTGACCACAGTCATAGTTAACATGGGTGTCCCAATTTAGGCAATTGGCAAGGTGAACGCCGAGGTAGCGCGCAGAAGATGCTGAAGGGAGGAGACACTCGCCGCTTTTGACTGTTATCTCCGGTACATTATTGTGTGGATTGATAGTCAGAACCTTCGTCTTGTCGGCGTTCAAGATGAGGCCTCGAGACTTCGGCCAATCGGCCAGAGCAGTTTCTGCTGTGGTGAGGGTTCTGGACGCTTCAGCCGCTGAGATCTGGGGGTCGTACATGGCTATATCATCTGGAAATTGTACACTTGGCACATGCAAGGAAACCGACATCTCGTGTCTATATACTGAAGAGGCCAGACTATAGAACAGGACCGGTGGGCATCCCGCTGGTGCAAGCCAGAGCAGAGCTGATTGAAGGGGAGAGGAAGATCTGCTGCTAGCGGCCGGACAAGTAGTCGTCGACCACATTGAGGGCAATTCCAGAAATTACAACAGCAAGGTCTCGGATCAAATTGTAGTGGCGCCCTTCATCACTAAAGCCTTCGAATTTTCTAGTTGGCACAGCCTTGTGATCTTGCCACTGTCTCTCGTAGATTGTACATCAGCATTTTCCGTAGAACATTTCTTGCGGAGAGCAAATTGTGTTTTGGGTAGTGCCTTGCTCAAGTCCAAATGACGAAAAAGCTGGTGTTGTACTATTCTCTTCAGCAACTTGGTACTATTGCGATAAAGGATACAGGTCTATAGTTGGTTAGGAGTTGGGGCCTTGTTCAGTGGCACAACAGACGCCAATATAAATCCAGATGGAATGGTTCCAGTCCTCAGCGAGTTGCAGAAAAGCACAGCAAGAGAATATGCCAACAAGTCAGCACAATGCTGTAGCAGAGAGCCCGGTTTGCCGTCACAACCTGTGGCTTTACGCGCATACAAATTGTCAAGGAGACGTCGGACGTCCGCAGGAGTCACAGGATCAGGTTAGGTCAAGGTCACAGGTCCAGCGGGACCTTGCGGGGTGCAGAGCTTTTCAGAACAGTCCGCATCGGTGACAATGGAGTGGAACGTGTGGCCCACCGCAATGATGCTACAACTAGGATCTTCGCGGCGACATGAATGCCCAGTGCGGCGAACAACTCTTCAACTCCAAGCAACAACGTGCATCCTTTCACGTCCTTTCTTTTTATTGGTTGTTCCAGCCCTGCTGCTCCCTCACCTCCACCTTTAGGCACTGCATATTCACATGGATTATTCTGATTTTGGTGGCGGCCTTGGCTGTCATTAGCGGTGTCGTTGCCATTTTATGGTTTACTGTATCTGGCATATCATATTTCGTAAAATAATCCTGCGCTATACAAGGATGACACGTAGAATTGCATTGACAACACCAAAGATCAGAAAAATGCATCCTCGTGAGCGAGATACACTCTGAAAGGAAGGTGAAGAAGACAATGTAAATGGAATTCTCACGTTTCACATTGCCACTTTGAAGGAAGGCAAAATATACTGGAGTGTGTCCTAATCGCTGCTTCCAAGAAAGTATTACTCTAAATCAACTGATGTTCGCTGGCGATTTAATTCCGCTGATTTTGCCGTTTGGTACCAACGGGCCAAAGTAAATGTCAGTCCAAAGTATGTCATAGAGGCAAATGATGCATAATTGAGCCATTGCTACATTTGAGAGCACCAGCTTCCGATCGATGTCTTTTTGCAAACTCCAATCTGCCAAAGTTGAATATCGGCCAGAAGTTTCATTTCGAGATCGGCCAAAGTTTCTCACCGACCTAAACACCTTGATTCAAAGTAACCAGATGGGCAGAAAGCATGCCTGCACTACACATTGAGCAGTCAAAGAGATGGTGGACAAGCCGTTGATTATCCACTCTCATTGTAATATCAAAAAGTATTCTTTTTAGACCAAAGACAACTTCATGACTATTACCGCCGAAGTCGCAACATCTAAGTTCAAAAGAGTGGTATATTATTTCTATCTTTATTAATCAAATATACCACTCTTTGGTCGAAAAAGAATACTTTTTGATACTACTTTGTTCTAGCAGTGTTGATGATTTGAGTGTATGTGTCTCTTTGTCTGTCTGTGTTTCCTGCCGTTTGTCTGTCTGCATGTATGCACATCTGTCCGTGTCACATTGAGAAAAGGCCAGGGTCTCCATACGATGACATTTTACTAGTAAAGGTTCAGCGGTGTGTTCGTCTGATTCTGTGTGTTATGCCTGCTCATGTTGACATTTGTGCTTGGTGGGGCATGCGGACATGTGTACCGAACACATTGCAACGGGTTTTAATCTAATGGGCATCTAGACATTGATGAATGTCAAAATGGCAAACACAACTGCAACGAAATGGTCAATAGTGACAACAGACAATGCCAGAATTTGAACGGCTCATACCATTGTCCCTGTCTTCCTGGATATGCTGGGTCGCAATGTGACGGTGAGTAATTTCGACAAGTCCCTATTCACAAATGCATGAACTATTTAACTAATAATTTATTGCAACATCCCAAGACTCAGTGAAAACATAGGCCGATGCGAAGAGAATTCTATTCAAATTTACTAGGACAGTCCCCAAGACGGGGTGCCCTGATCTTTTATTAAAGTAATGCATAGTGACATTTCGATGTATTGGGCTGTGATTAGCAGATGTTGCAATAGGGGCCGTGTATGTTCATCGTTTCAGACCGTGGGGTATTTCGGAAGAAGTTGTGAACTCAATTCCCCCAGATTTGTAGAAGGGTTTCGAATATCGGATTACACCTTGTTCCATTTGTGCCTAGTTCACTACCTGCTTTCCCCGTCACTATTGATATTCTATGTGTGTAACGCTAAAAAGAGGTGTACACACAGGCATACCATGACACAAGAACATCAAAATCATGCCATGGTGTGACTGCATGCACACTTTCTCTACCATTACACTTGGATTCTTGTCTCCACGCCTCCTGTTCAAGTCAATGTGCGCACTGTAATTTTCTCCTGTCTTTGCTTTGCGTGTATATTCACGAACCCGTCACTCAAACGCAACCAACTTTGACACAAATGATCAATTAATTAAAGGTGGATTCGTCTCCATTGTGACCTTCGCCATCTCCATCAGTCTTGTGGTAGTCGTCTCTGGGCTCACGATCTCAATTCTGATAGCTCAGCTGAAGAGAAAATATACGAAAGCAGCCCACATGAGAGTTCAAACTGCTGCTTTACAGAACACGGTGGGAACAGCTGGCAGTAACGCCCTATCCCTAACAGGGAATGACGCCTATGGGACAACGACGTCTGGAGATCGACAAGATCCTTCTCTGTATGATACTATACAGTAATCTCTATGCATCATTGCTCAGAAGCAGAAGCTCTACATGGATCTTCACGTGCACTGATAGCATAGTGACGTTTGGTGTACATTGTACATGTGCATGTGTATTGTAACTATGCTTGTAAAGTATGAATATTTTTCATACTTCAAAGTTCTTTTTGAAAACTATTCATACTTCCCAACAATCATTCTCACCCTTCTATTCGGCATGTTTTCTCATAATTTTGTAGATCTTAACATTATGCAACATGCATACAAAACAACATACATGTATGTCACTCTGAGCGTTGGGTCTTGTCGGTTTTAGCTAGCCGAACTAGTCTAGCTCTAAAACACATGGTATGTAGCCTCCTCCGGGATTATGCTCCTGCTTCGGCCACCCAAAGCCTAATTGTCGCCAATCCTGAGTAGCCAATCTCCACTGAGCTACCCTATTGCACCCTTCATTTGACACTCTCCTTTCACTCTTATTATCTGTTTGATTATTCGCTATTTTCTGCTGTGTTCCAAAATTAGATCCTCTCTTTCATTCTAAATCTTCCATTTTCCCCCGTGCTTTTATCCCCTCATGCTGATGCTTCCTCCCGAATTTGGTGCGCCTGCCATGTGAAGATGCCGAGACCTCTGGTCGGTTGAGCATGGCAAGCCCCACCAGCACCATCTCACCCCATGCTAGCCTCATGTGCCTGCCAGTAAGTTGTGTATTTAGTTAAACAATAAAACAATGTTTTGAGTGTGACCAGGTTCGAAACATGAAATCAATACGTTTTTAACAGCCTGCACGACGCCTTCGTTTTTAATTGTTTTTATTCGGTCTGGTCTCCCTTTTAGATAATGTTAATACAGTATACATGTATATGTATTTGATATTATTTGAAGTGTGTTCATTTTATAAAGGTAGTTCACGCCTCCTTTCGGGCTATTTTAGCAGGTAATATTCACAAAGGATTTGCAGCGATATGAATTTCCACGATATCTTGTGGTCATCAGGGTGCTATTGCTTCAAGGGCTTACTGACCTTCTTGCCTCATTTTTTCATCTCTCTTATATCATGCTTGCTGTGCTCTTCTATTCTTGGTTGAATCCACCCCTACCCGTAATAGCTCCTCGTCCACACAAGCGCTCAACTGTATCGAATTTTGAAGTTTCAACTTCACTTTAGTCTGCTTTCCATCAGAAAGAATGATGTTCTGGCACTCCCCTCGGGTACCATCGCAAGAATGAGTTCTGTGTGTTGAGCAAACATCTTTTGACACCTTGCTTCTTTAACTTAATTAAGAGAGCATGTCTGAAAAAACCAGAACATTTGTGCAAGTCGATCTCTCAGATTTCGCTCAAATGTTGCAGGAAAGTTTCCTTTGGGGTGTAGATCGACTATGCAAAGCCCGCGGAAAAGTTTCTGAAGCGAACTTTGAAATTGGGATACCCCTCACAATTGTGGAAAAATCACATGATTCATGAGACAACAAACGAACCACGCCACAGCGTACAAGAACAAGCTACCAACAAAACTCCATCAAGCCAACATTACATCACCTTAGTGGAGTTCTTGGAGTAGCACTGCTTAGCCACGTCAGCATCCCAGAAGCCGAGGACCATCATCCCTCGACGCCAGAAATGATCGTCTTGAAGATTGCCAAATTACAAGCGCTGATAACACAGCGAGCTTCGTCCTCACTAAGCAAACACTATATGTCATGCAGGTTCTCACACGCAACGGGAACACTTCGTGGTAGTAAAATAGATATTTCGCAAACAACAAAAAGACAACTCTTTCTCTTCCTTTCGAAGAACCGAACTTGCCGGGCCTCCTCGAAAAGCCAACCAACTCTGAAAAAAACCTACACTACACTAGTACGGGATTCAGCGCAGAGCAAAAAATAATCATGAGTCATTATACAATACATGCAGTGTAGCCGTGAAAACTGGTGAATAAAGAATGCAGTAGGTTGGCAGCACGTGACCCGTCGTACCGCAGTACGCGACGGCGTCGCGGCTTAGAAATGAAAGGAAACACTGCGAGAAAAGACAAAACGAAAATACATGTCCCTTTGTCAAAACTTAGAAGAAACAAACAAAATGCGACCAAGAATCATTTTGAGAGTCAACGTCAATACTCTTGTGCAGTTGTGCAAATTCTTGTCTTGCACTGTGCAACGCAAGAAACAAACAACCTACTAAATAACTCGTGAACTAACTGTAGGCTAAATCACTACATGTACGCGAAATTGCGTTCCTAAATAAACTGAATTTCTGAGACATTTCATATTTCACATCCTGAGGGAAATATTGAATAAATAGTAAATATGTAAAAAGGCGACGTGGAGACAATAATCTTAATAATGCAATGAATATAACTAAATGCGCACTCATATCACAACCATGGGGACGAATCATGTATTCCAGAACGTTTTCTTGTCACAATTATCAATGGAATTCGTGACTAAAGAGAATGATGAAACTACAATAGGATGTATACACTTGCAGTGGAACAGCGAGGATACAAGCATAGTAAGAAAAATAGCACAAACCTAGGAACAATTTGCACAGGTAACTGCAAGTGTATAAATCCTATTGTAGTTTCATCATTCTCTTTAGTCACGAATTCCATTGATAATTGTGACAAGAAAACGTTCTGGAATACATGATTCGTCCCCATGGTTGTGATATGAGTGCGCATTTAGTTATATTCATTGCATTATTAAAATAGTAAATACATCATAAAAAAACACATGGCCACGACGGCCTTCCCAACATACCCCCTTGATACATCCTTATCAAAGAATGAGTAAAATAAGAAAAGAGATCGAACTGACTAAAAATTGCGATAAGTCCATCTAAAACGTGCGTACGGACTGTCAGCCTTTCACAACCGGACATAGCCGTACAACTGACCTGGTTACCTGCTTGCCTCCGACCTGGAGCTTAGCGACACGCACTCTGCCGTCAGAACCAGGGTAGACCTCCAACACCCGTCCAAGAGGCCACCTGCCACGGGGGGTATCAGCTGACACAACGAGGACGATGTCACCGACACTGAGATCCGGGTACTCTTTCCACCACTTGGAGCGACGATTCAGGGCTGGTATCCACTCCTGCATCCACCTTCGCCAGACATGGGATACAAGCATTTGGACGTGTTGCCAGCGGCGCCGAAGACACGGTGACTCGACGGCAGGATGATAGTGCTCAATGCGTCCAACCAGGAAGTGATTCGGTGTGAGTGGCAAGTCGTCGCGGCTGTCACTAGAGGGAGGAACAATTGGACGAGAGTTGAGTAGCGCCTCTGCGCTGCAGCATGCTGTTCGCAGCTCCTCATCGGTGATTGATGCCTGCTGTAGAACATGGTAAATAGCCTTCTTTGCTGCTTTTACCATACTTTCGTGAACGCCTCCAAAGTGTGGTGTCTGGGCAGGGATGAAATGCCACTTGATCCTCTTCATGGTAGCGCTGTGCTCCAGGACGTGTTGCTCCTGCTCGGTGAAAATCTCCGATAGCTCACGATTAGCCCCGACGAAGTTCGTTCCATTGTCCGAGAGCACTTCAGCAGGAACACCACGGCGGTTGCACATTCGTTGAAAGGCGTTCAGAAAGCTGTCGGTATCCAAACCTGTGGCCATTTCCAGATGCACAGCACGACAAAGACAGCAGGTGAAGACGCACAAGTACCGCTTAGCTCGTCGTTGCCCTAGACCCTGTACTGTTGCGAATGGTCCAGCAAAGTCTACGGCCACGCGACTGAAAGCGTGGAGAGGCTCCTTCAACCGGATCTTGGGCAATGGTGCCATGATCTGCGTGGCTGGTTGTGCTTTACGAAATTGACATTTCACACAGGAACGTTCGTACTCCCGGATGGCTTCTCGAATCGCCACGATCCAATATTTCCTCATGAGGACTGCCATAGTGTGAGCTGTACCTGCGACGTGATGGTCTGCCTCATGCTGGTCTCTGATCACTAGCTGTGTTATCCAGCAAGACCGCGGCAAGATGATCGGGTGCTTGGCGTCTTGACTGAGATACTGTGCCTCTTGGAGCCGTCCTGTCATTCTCATCACACCAACTTCATCCAAGAACGGGGTCAGGCTGCTCAGTGGACTGGTTGCCGGTAATGGTTTGCCCTTCTGCAGTGACGAATATTCAGCAAAGGCGTCCTTCTGGCTTGACCGAATAATGGCCTGGAGGCTGTTCTCGACCTCCTCGACCGTCAGCTGACCATACTGTCTCTGCGTGGCTGGGATTCGGCAGTTTGAAGAAAAGCGCAGCACCCACGCCGTCAAGCGGACCAGCCGCTGAAGCGAAGAGAATCGTTCAGGCGCCAGAACCCACTCGCTCATCGAGAGGAAAGACACACATGTCACTTGGTGGTGTTGCTGACCTTCTTCGGGTGGTTTGGCTTTCGTGCGGACCTCTGGTGCAGCTGGAACGTTGAATCTCTCGGGCTGCTGTGGCCGTTCTTCGATGCTCTGAACGAGATATGACGGACCGTTCCACCACAGCACATTCATCGCGATAGTAGCGCTTGATGTTCCTCGTGACAGGATGTCAGCTGGATTCACCGCCGTCGGAACGTAGAACCACTGACTAGGCGAGGAAGAAGCCTGGATCCCACCGACGCGGTTGGCCACGAATGGCTTGAAGACCCGGCTGCTGTTCCTTATCCACCACAGGACATCCATGCTGTCACTCCAGAACACGACATTCTCCATTGCGATGGCGAGTGTCTTGGCTACGGACACACCAAGACGACATCCGATGACTGCTCCCATTAGCTCGAGTCGGGGGATGCTAACAGCTGATAACGGTGCCACTTTGGCTCGAGCCATGACGAATCGACTGGACCTCGTACCATCCTGGTACACATGACAGAGATAAGCGACTGCTCCATATGCATCTTGCGAGGCATCGCAGAATACATGTCGCTTAGTCTCCACCACCTCTTCATCGCGTTGAAGACACCGGTGAACTCGGACATCCTGGAGTGCATCCATGTCGGCACACCACTTTTGCGCCTCTGCGCCTAGCTCTGGCGGCAGAGAGTCGTCCCAGTCAGCACCTGCTAGCCACATCTTCTGGAACAACATCCGACCAACTATGGTGAATGGCAGTACGAATCCGATCGGATCAAACAATGTGGCTAGGTTCTTCAAGAACGCTCTCTTGGTGACAATGTCTAATGGCGGCTTGACATGAATCAGGAACTCGTCTTCCTCTGCTCGCCACTTAACTCCGAGAGTCTTGGTCGTCGGCAGGATTCCACTAGCGAGGTCCACTTCCTTGGCTCGGTCCTCCTCGGGGACTTCGGCGAGCACCTCAACATTGTTGGAAATCCATTTTCGCACATGCATTCCAGCGAGACCCCACAGCGCCGTAAGCTCGTGGTACAGCTGAATCGCTAGCTCTGTTGACTTTGTCGAGTCCATTGAATCGTCCATGTACGTGGACTTCAACACGGTTTCTGCTGCCATAGGAAACTCCTCCTGGTTCCGCCGCGCATGCTCTTGCGAGACCAGTTGAGCTAAGAATGGAGATGCATTGATCCCGAACACCACTCTATTGTACTGGTAAACGGCCGGTTGGTCCTCCGTATCTTCTCGCCAAAGAAATCGATGGAACTGTCGGTCATCCTCTTCCAACTCGATTTGTAGATACATCTCTGCCACGTCGGCTACCAGTGCATTTGGGTGTCGCCGAAACCTCAGGAGAACGTCGGTGAGGTCCCGTTGTAGTTTGGGCCCAGTGCTGATGTAGTCATTCAGACACTTGCCTTTCGTCTTTGCTGCTGCATCAAAGACCACACGCACCTTTGTGGATGTAGCCCCAGGTCGTACAACAGCAAAGTGCGGCAGATACCAGCCGTCGCCATCACTTGCGTTGCTGATCTTGCTGATATACCCTTGTTCTAAGTGACGGCGAATCACGGTTCGGTATTCCTCAGCGACGTCTGGCTCCTTCTCCAGGCGTCTCTCTGCTGCGATGAGCCGCTTCATTGCAGTTTCTCGACTGTAGTTGTCCGGAGGTGGTCTCTTGATCCACGGCTCCGAAACCTGGTATCTTCCGTTCTTGTAGGTCATCGACTGGACCGTCTGATCAAAAACGGCTTGATCATCTGCACAGAATTTGTACGACTGGGGAAGTTCCTCCACCTCCCACATCCTTCTCACCAGTGCATTCAGGTCGACGTCCTTTCCGAAGTATGTGCGGGTGAAAT